CCATGATCTTCCCAAGGCCCCCCCCCCCAATATTGAAACATTTGCAAATATTTCCTTTTTCTTTTCTTTTTTTTGTTTGTTTTTAAACAGGATCCATTTCATATCCAGTTCCTTTAGTGTATTTTAATAGCTATTGCTTTTTTTTTTCTACTACTGCTGCATGCAGGCTTGTAGGGAAGGCATTATGGAAGCTGTGTCATCCCTTCAGTGTCCAAGGTACGTGATAAAGTAATTACTCTTCACTTACATGGTAACTATTGAGTATTTGGTTAGACGGTGAGGCGCAATGCATAGGTCAGTAGCATTTTGAACTGTGCACGATCTGTCCCGCGCTACGTAGCATGCAATGGGAGAGTTGTTACTGTGGATGTGACATAGCACAGAGATGAGCAGAATCGAGTTTTGTATTTCTTGCCGTACACAAGGTGCTTTACAGCCCTTCGTGATGCAGTCGGTGAGATACGCACTGTCGGGGAGGGCTGAAACGAGGGAACCAAACTGCACAAAAACACCTTTGATAATATCCCCCTTTTTATTAATTCAATGGAAATGTTTGCGCACACTGAAATTCGAAGCGTTTCCAGCAGCCCTATGGCTGGATTAAGCACTAGGGGGGCAGTCTCACCAACCCCCCCACCCACAGACTGGGAATGCTATTGGCATGTCAAATATTCACAAAACGCTGACGGGAGGCAATGCATTGACTATCCTGGTGAAGCATGGTCATCATTAAGACCTCAGAAACAGCCCTCAGGATTTTACTGCAGGAAGAATGGCAGCTGGTCAGGATATTGGGGGTTTCCTCTGCTCTCTTCCAAAAAAGCCCTTTGAGCATCCCTCGAAGCTGGGCACAAACAAGGACGATGCAAAGGCTGATCCCAAGCACTGCCCCTCCCTCTGGCCAGCATGCCAGATCCTGGCCCCGTGATGACAGCAGAAGGGCTAACGATCTGGACGAAGGAGTATTTTTCTCTCCACTGAGCCATGCAGCAGGTTTGGTTTTTTTGCGGGGGGAGTTGCCCTCACTGCCTCATTTTCCTGCGCGGGGCTCTGACAATTTGCCCTTTCGGTCCCAAGCGATTACCATGTAAATGAAGAGTAATTATTCAAAGACGGGTGCTCTGCTCAGCACCCTCCACGTTTGGGTGAGCCGCTGGAAAAAAAAAAGCCTCGCACGAGCTTCCACATCCTGGCAGCGCTAAGGCCAGAGCTCTTGGGATATACACTCGATTGGTTTTATGGGCATGCCCGACCTCTTTGGGGGTGACTGACCTTACTTCCGGAGTCTTTGCTTCCACACTCCCCTTTATCGTACCACCATTTGCTTTTCAGCTTGTCTAAGACGCCTTGCTCACTGAGTTTCAAAACCGCTAGGTTTACGGGACCTCTTCAACCAGGGGGGAAATAACATAAATAACATTACCAATGTTATTTTATGTTATTCAGCACAGACAGTTCATTCACAGCATTCATTGAACAAGTTTATACATTGACAAAGTGATACGATTGAATACTCCATCTAGCCACCCCGCCCCTCCTCCAGCATAGCATCCCCCCCGCCCGGCATAATCATACAGCTCTTCCTCCAGCACAGCAAGATGAGTATTACTATATCACTTTGAGTAACCAGCAACCTCAACCACCTGCCGTGGATACTTGCAATGCTCCCGCCAATGTGGATGAGAGCAGACCCTCCCTGTCTGCAGTGCCATCAACAATTGGCAGGGCCCTGCACAGTATCTCAGTCTCCTCCATATGTCCATGCCCAAGAGAATCCAGCAGAGCCTTTGGGGGGGAAGTGGGGAAAGGAGGGAAGTTGCCTTCAAGAAGCCTTGACACAACCAAGCGCTTCCTCTCCCTTCTGCCGAAGGAAGGGACCAGCCCCTGTGACCATGCAGGTGTTGGCGTCTATGCGTTTATCTCTAGACCCACTTAATTCTTGGTTGCTTCCGTTTTGGTTTAGCAATCAAAGGGCACGTCGTTACAGAGCGGGGGCATTCATTGCTCTTGGGTTCGTTCCGTTTGCTCTCCCTACGCGTTGGACTGCAAGGTGTGTTGGCAGCGCAGTTGCTGGTTACTATCCATGCTGTTTATACCCACTAGTTTGTTCTTACTGGGGCTGACCTTGGAATCACCTCCCCCGCTGCCGCATTCGCCCTTGTCGTACCACCATTTGTTTTTCAATTTGTCCAAAAGCCCCTGCTCGTTCAGTTTTAACACTGCCAGGTTTACTGGGTTTCTTTAAAATGAATAGATAACACTCGATGAGTAACAAGCGGAGAACACTCGTCAAGTCATGTGACAACAAGGGATCGATGAACCAGTGTCCCTGATCCAGCCTTCCCCCACATGCTTCAATCCCTTGCAATCAGGAAATTCATTCCCGAGGACCTCTCGAGAGTTTGCCTACGTGGAAGAAGCTGTAGGGAACTATGTCACCGAATGGCTTTGCTTTGAGTAATAGCAGTCCCCTGGTTTTATGCTTTCTTCTACAGCAGTCAAATTGGTACATACAGGTCAGGCTAGACATATTTCTAAGCATCAGCAGAGATTTTTTTACCAAAAAAAAAAAAATAAAAATAAAATCAATTCGAGAACAACGATAATGTTTATAGGTGCAAAATTTGTCAGGTTTGGGGTACTTTTGGAGTGGGGGAGGGGAGTCTGGCTCGCCAGTCCCTCTTGAGTGATTCTCACGTCACAAAAGACATATAAAAACAACACAATCAGCAATCATTTCTCATTAAGTAACAGAAAAGAGAAACATTTAGGCAATTCAAGGAGAACCTTCATGTGTTCAAGCTGATGCATGATTGGGACGTGTGGAAATAGATGGGCAGATCCTCAGCTGGTGGAAATGCACATTGCTCCCCTGAAGTCAATGCCGTGATGCCTAGCTCAGCTGAGTAGCTGCAGTCTCATTTCACTGGAGTCTGCTATGATTTAGCCTTACTCAGGTCTGCCAGGGGGCTTCCAGTATAGTTGGGTCTACAATGCAAATGCTTTGCAGGACCAGTAACCCTCACACCTTTTCCAGATGCAGTTGGCTATGAATAGTGATGTAGGCTTAATGGTTTCATTGCCATGTTCCCAGGAAGATTTGGGGGGATGAAAAGATGGCAGTTGCCCCATTCAAACTCATGTACCTATATATTTTTTCAGAGCACCTAGAACTGACGGACGTTTGCAGTGTTTTGCACGTGCATCTTTCAACTGACAAACTTTCTGGTATAGGTCCTAGCTGTTTGGCTGGCAGGGAGATGCTTTCATTCAGAAAGAAGAACAAGCTGGGTTCAAGAATTGGGTAGCATGCAGACCCAACACCATGACGTACTCCGCCTTCAGATGCATTTGCACAACTTTTCCCCAAATTGAGTGGTAAGCACCTGGGGGCAAACACTCTTCCTATGGCTCAAAAGGCCTGGGTGTGGGCAGATCCTTCTACCTGGGTGGGATCTCATCGACTCCAGTGGGATTCCCTGAACCACAGAGATCCTGCCGTGGGGATTACGTTATGGGACTGAGACCTACGGGGCACTATGCAGACTCTTTGGAGATTGAACCTGTTTCACTCCAAAGGGCAACAATCGAGCTCTTTTCATGAAAGACTGAAATGCAAAGAGCCATGCTCATGGCTTTTTGCCAGTCCAAGAGGAGACATCTGGCAGCTGTTCTAGGGATGAATTTGGCTCACTATTTCCTCGTCTCCAGATAACACCACCAGGGTCAAAGTACAACGTCAGATGTAGTCAATGGAAGCAGATGGGTGTATCCAAGGGAAGCATTCAGTTCTAAGTAACACTAAAATTGTTTCAATCTTCCAAAGCAGAATAAAGGTTAATTAACACACCATCTGCAAGGGATGTTGTTAAGAAATGATATGAAGGAATAGCTAACTTCTGTGAAGGCATAGTCAATTAGCACAGTCAATCCTTTGTGGACTTCCTGGCTATAAAGATAACTAATGTGATATTTTGTATCACACATTATATGTTTTATTTAATGGTGTCATTTAAAATAACGGATTTGCACTCCAGTTCGTCTGGAGTATACAGAGCTTCCAATACTTCACTGTGACAGGCTTCTTGATAAAAGATTTAGCTGCCTGGGACATTTCTCTGAAATGTGTCATTCTAGGTGGACTTTTGACAGGGAACATTTTTATTTGCTCATCAGGCTTAGAAAAGCTGACACACCCGTTTAAGTGCCTCTGGCGCCTGCTTTTCTGTAAGGCCTATACCGTGCTCCAGGGTGGGGGGGGGTGTTTTAATTAGAGTGGCTCCTGGTTCTAATTAAAATGCTGCAGCGTCATGTGTATTCAGTGCCCTGCATTCCAAAATGGCCGCTGGGGTGCTTTAACTAAAGCTTGTTGGATGAGTTTTAGTTAGAGCTGTCATTTTGAAACGCAGGATGCTGAATACGCCTGATGCGGCAACACGCTGGAGCGTTCTGATTAGAATAGCCTATCAGACTTGACTAACCTAGTTAACCTAATTAGATTAAATGAGATGAATTGATTTAAACTAAACAATCTAGTTAGCATGCGGAGTGCATGGATAGGCACTCCCAATTCTCAAACTCAGGCTTTCCCATTTCTTCTTTCTTACAACATCTCTATTGCTTTTTAAAACTTGAATTATACCTTTATATCTTTTCCCCCTAGTTTCCTTTCCTCTGTTTGGATCACCTGTCTTTTATGGCACAGTTTTGATCCTCGATGCACTAAACTGATCCTCTGAATGCTGGGTAATCAAGTTAATATAGGGGCAAAATGCCCTGGGTCATTCATATTGAAGGAACTGGTTGGGAGGCAGGTTTCCATGCATTGCAAGAAGAAGGCTGTATCTGGGTTTTCCACCCTGCTCCCATTCAAGTCAGTGTCAACATCCTTATTGTGGCTTGAGTGGGATCAGGAGCAGGCCTCCAAGTGCAACTGTGACTGCTGAAAACATTTTATTTGCCGTCTTGTGGCTTCCATGCAGAAAATAAGGAGGAAAAAGATTAAATCTGGCCTGAAATCCAATCACCTGGCCCTCAAAACACATAAAGAGAAGCAATATGTTTTGGAAGAAATAAAAGAGGGCCCAACAGGTATACACACACACACACACACACACACACACACACACACAATTGCACACATACAAATATTTTACTGTGGGGATTAAGGGACTGTAGATGTTCTCTGACATCCAGGTGCAAATGCTTTCTGCTATCACACATGAAAATTAGGAGAAAGAGTCTGTGGACAACTATGCACCCCAGAACTGAGAGCTGGTATATACATCTCAAGCCAGATATCCATCTTTCTGATACCATGAGTCTGGCTGGTAAGCAAATCCTCCCAGTAGCCCCACTGATGAGCCTACGAGGAGCCATGGGCTTTTAAATGGGCTTTTTAAGCATTGACTGCATATGATCAGGTCAATATGGTTGTGCTGTCAATGCAATACAGGCTGTCCGGGTCTTGGCAGTGTATTAACATATCTTGGGTTACCAATAAGCTGTGCTCCTTTCCCACTCTTTCTTCAGGAAGACTTTGGAGCAATGCAATGGTGCGGATGCCCATTTGGTTTGGAGCATGTAGCATCCTTTATCAAACCAAGCTGTGGGGGCAGGTTTTTATATGTTGTGTGCTAATGTTCACTACCCCGATGTGCTATTAAACAATTAATGACAGCTAGTTAAAGCTTCTCTAATAGAAAATAATTCAAATAAGGAGTATCATAAAATTTACCTTTTTAAAATTCAGCTAAAATGATGATTTCCACCCCACCATTTTTGCCATGAAAATGAACTGGGCTTTTGCTGTGAACATACCTGACATGCCTATCCTTTCTGGGAAAATCACGAGAAAACGTCCTGTCTTTTGAAAGTGGTCCTGCTCCTACTGAAGCCAATGGCCAAACTCCTGTTGACTTGAAAGGGAACAAGACCAGGGGCCCTAAGTTCTCTTGCCAGGAATACCTGAGGCTATTTCTACCCTCCACAACTTAGCTGGGTGATTAACAGCTGGGTCTTAGTCTCACCTGGGTATGATCATCCCCACTGCAAAGAACTACCTACATGACTATGCCTTTCTGTTTCTGCACTTGCCCGTATGCAACGTGACGAATATCTTGTGGTTCGTTGTGCTGAGTTGCTCTAGGCCTCATCCCCAGTCCATTGTGCTCATGACAGAACTGATCTGCCCTTCACAGGGGATTGTGGGAAGGTCACTGGAAGACTTGTAGCACTCCAGTGGCTTTGCCTGCATCTTCACTTCAAGGTGGGTAGGTCCAGCAGAAGGTCCAGTGGGAGCCCATGTGCCTCACTAGGTAAGCTTGTTCTGGCTATAAGCCCTGCAAAACTCGGTCAAAAGATTGTGTGTGCGCGGATGGTAGAGGACTAAACATTGGGAAGAGCCCGTGTTAACGGTGCAACATCAACAATATCAGCATCCTGCGTGTCCCCTTGCCTGGTGCATGCTGTCATGTGCAGGGCCCCATAGTGAAGACAGACACCACATGACGACTGTAGAGAAACTACTGAAAGTTGGACAATTAAAACAACGACAACAACAACACGACAAAACGAACAGCGTGGGACAGAAAACCGACAGCATCTGTTCCAAAGAAGCACCAACGGGGCAAATAGAAAATCAAGCATTTTTCCTTTGTTTTCCGATCATTTAAGGTCTAACCGTGCTCTGGAAGTGTGCCTGCTAAAGGGAGGCTTAGGCTAGGAGGACTGAGCTGACTTTTGGCAACGTTCCTCCTTCTTGGTTGGTTGTTTTTTAAGACCATGTTTAATGGCTTCCTCACGTGCCCTAAATGACTGGACTGGGCACACTGGGGGTTATTCTGAACGTCAGTCCTGCATCCTCATTTCCATATTTGCAAGACAGAACATAAATGTTGGAGCGAGCGAGCCGGGACGCCCCCCAGAAGCAGGGACAGTGCATCCACATCTGCTCCGAGGGACCCAAAGCACGTCATCATTGCCTGAGCTACGTCTGAAGGGAAAACCTGCCTTCCGGACCCCTGCCCTCCATTCAGACGCGCCGATTCTCTCAGGGGAGAAACGGTGTCCCAAAGAATACGTTTTCCTAGCCAACAAATGAACAAGCCGACTAATCTGAGTGGATGAAATCCTGAAGTTTAATGAGGACACGGTGGCCCTTTGGCTTCCCAATTTTCTTGGAAGCTTTCCTATCTTTTTAATTGCTTTGCATCCTGCTCAGCAGGACTCTATTCATTCAGCAACTCCTTTTCTCTTCCATCAGCACAGGTCCCAAGCAGTTCACTCAGCTTGGGCTCAGACTTTACCGAGGAAAACCTCCCACTGGCTTCGGTGGGACTCCGGATTTGATCCATTGTGTTTAATGCCTTGTGGAGCTTTCAGATAAAAGACTATGCCCTACCCTCCTTTTCCTTCTGTACATTTTTTTTCTATCAGGTTTTTCCTCAAACAATACATATATTTTTTATACTTATTTTTGTCCTCCTTTGATGGTTGGTTGACACGGACGTGACTTGGGAACCTCTGTTAATAGAGGGAGGACAGGACTAACGCCACGAGTGAGATCTCGTCTGTGCTTGGCCCCCTTCAGCCACCCGCCAGCAACTGGCAGAGCTGCTTTGGTGCCAACACCCACATGCGATTTGCATTGGTTCATGTTTATCGCTGCTTGAAAGTGGGGAAAAACTCATGGGTGCAAGTAACAGCTTCCCTTGGGTAGATGCAGGGCTTTGCCCCTGTGTAGCTGCACCAGTTGCTGGCCAGCAATGACTAAATCCCAGTACATACAGGATCAAAGGCCGTTTTCCTTACTACCGTGTTAATGGAATTAAATTGAAAGCCCCAGTTTTATTAATCACTCTTACCATAAGACGACCAGGTTTCTCTTTTTTTTTTTAGCATCCCCAATGCCACAAAACCCTCTCATTTTGCTTTTATTTGTCCACTGTGTCTTCCTGGGCAGACTACTTAGACTATCTTTGTCAGGGTAAAGAAAATAAGAAAGCCCCACATAAAATAGAAATGTTGCTGACCCTCATTTCTTCCCAAGAAGCAACGGTGGGTTTTTCGGTGCCTATGCATTGCTTTAGGGGGCTAAACAGAGACCTGCAACTGGGAAAAGCTGCTCTTTATAACACTCTTTCTATGTCCCTGGGGATTTGCAAACGTATTTATAAGATCTGAATTCTGTGCTTTTTGAAGGGCTTCGCTCTCTTTCCTTTAAAGGAAGTCTTTGGAAATATTTTGTTTGCTAGTAGATTGGCACAGGCCTTTGACAATGGCTGGTTTGAGCTCAGAAATGTGGAACGGGCCTCAACAGAAAGGTGCCAGCTGCATTCAAATTCACTCCTTGGCAGGCTGGAGCGCTCTTCCCTTATTTTGTTTTAATAGCAAGGATGAAAACCGCTTCATTTTCCATTTCTGCCCAGCGCATTCGTGTTTCTTTGCAGACACACACCAAAATACTTCTACCACGAGAACCCCCTCGGTTCAGCCAGGAGCCAATCCGGGGCCATCCCACACATTGCAAAGATGTGCATTTCACACGCCCCGGGGATGAGCGTCCTTTCAAAATAATGCTCAGTTAATCAACGGTTACGAGACAACAACACCCCTGCCGGCTTACACAGTGCAGCCACTTCCGTGGGGAGCCAATTTCCAAATGAAGGGCTTGAAGAAATTAGTCACTCCCATCACTGCTTAATGGAAGCCACGTTGCTTAAATCCCTCGGGCACCCTGGGATGGGTTGATGCCTCCCCGACCCCCCGCCGCTTTCGTGATTACTATGACAATGAAGGTGGAGCCATGGGGATACACTGATGTATTGGGCTACACAGCAAGGAGAAGCAAATCCAAGCTACTTACCTCAGTGCAGACCCCTTTGGCGTTGCAATGCCATAGCCTTTGGAATCCAAGTTACCTCCCACCTTCATTGTGTCGCACGGTTTCCGCTGCTCGATGTACTCGTTCATCGTGGACTCCAGGAGGTAGGCATACTTCCCTTTCGACTTTCTCACCCGGATCATGCCCTCTTCCGTGGTCCTCACAAAAACGGAGGGCTCGGCCGATTTCATGTATGTCCACATCTTCTCAAACACTGCTATTTTAGAGCGCTACGCAGGGCGAAACATAAACCCAGCAAGTGTTATACAGGAGGTGGAAGCGGAGACTCGCGTTTGGCTGCAGTCGAGGCCTATGACTTGGCTTGGCTGAGGAAGGATATCTATATTAGAGGTGGTTTAATGAGTGACTTTGGGTCAGAGTGAGCAAATATCCAGCAAATGCTCTTGGGCACTTACAGCATGGACTTGCAGGGTAAAATGTGTGTCATTCACCCTACCGACTATGAAACTATGAATCTAGGAAGCAGAGGTGAAAGGAAGAAGCAATGCGTGAAGTTATATATCCCACGAGGAAATGGGAACTTAACCTCCTCCTGTAGCAGGAGACGATCACAGGCTGTAAAAACTGTACAGCATCAGGAATGGAGAAACAAGGGAAACATTGAGATGCAGAAGAGGCAAGGATGAGTAGGCATGTCCGGGAAATAAGGCCTGGAGGTGAGGTAAGAAGGAAACATCTTTAACCATAAGAGCAACTGTCTGGCAGAGCAGACCCTCAAGGGAGGCAAGAAGTTCTTCACCGTTGCAGATGTTTGAGAACCGGTTAGGGAAGATGACGATGGAAAGGATGCCGGGTGAAATCACGCACAGAGGACGAGACAGACTGGACAACCATCATATGATGGTCCTTCCTGGCCCTGCTGTCTCTGCTCTTGCCGTAAGTAATGGCAGCTTATTTATACATGGTAAGTGGTGCCATTTAATTACAGGGCAAGCCAAATAGTACTTATTCTGTAAACTTGAGTTGCGAGTCACAGGGTAATTACTTCTGGAGCTGCTAAGTGTAATTACTTAGTAATCTGCAGAAGCATGTAATTACTGTATATTTCAAGGGTATTTACAGTGTTCAGCAAGCCACATGTGCTGGCATCCTCGTGTAATGCAATGAGGGGGCTGACTGGATGCTTTGCCCGAAAGTCTTCCTCGGTTTATCTTACCCTAAAAAATTCTTTAGTTGACCCAGCTTCCAGGGTCCCGTAGGCGATCTCTGTCTGCTTGGCCAGGTCCTCTGCACTCTCGATTGGTGACACCATCCTTTCGACCGTCAGGAAGGCAGCTAGGTTAGCCGTGTAGGAGGAGATGATGATCAGGGTGAAGAACCACCAGACGCCACCCACGATGCGGCCAGAGAGAGATCTGAACGTGAAGGGAAAGGGTGAGGGGGATTAGCACGAAGGAGGTGAAGATACAAGTCACTGGTATCAGCTAGGAGATTAGTACGTGGCTTCATACCACAGCAAAAGCTGTCGAGCAGCATGTGCTTTCCCCACCATTTCCTGGGAAGCTCGGTGCTCAAACAGAAGGATGCTTCTTTATGTCTTTTCCTGGTCAGGAAACAGATTTGAGTAAAAATCCACCCAATTTTTTCCCCCCCTTTGGTGGAAATGGCTGCCAGACTAAATAAATATTTTCATGTAATTTCAGGTTTTCAAACAGAAAAGCACAGTGATGTAAGTCACTGGAACATTTAGATTCCAAGGTCGAATTGTAGCTACGTGATGGAGAAATCCATGCACCTGTGACAAACAATAAAGATGTCCTAGTTCGACTATCGACTGTTAGAAAGGATGGTAAAATGAGCCAAAAGTCCTCAAAGCATGCGTTCGGTTTTGTATTCAAGGGATTCATTGGCTGGAGGCCCCATTAGATCATCCAATGTGGCTTTCTGTACATCACAAGCCATTGCATCCTACCCATTTCTCCCTGTATTAAGCGTATTTAGAAAGAAGCAGGATGGGGCATTCATATTTCACAGGGATAACGATGGGCTGCATTTTCTATCAGTCACCTGGGAGGATGTTAAATCAAATTGCATTTAAATGCGCTAGACCAGATGGTTTGTATGCCAGGGTGTTAGAGGAATGTGTTGTCTAGCTTGCAGAGAAATGGGGGTACCCATGAGACACACCAGTGTCCCCGTAGACACCAAAGCTCAATCCTTGCTTTCTGCAGCAGCTCTCTTTCAGACTCTGGGTCGCTCCCCTGCAATCTGCCCTGCATGACAGTTATACAAATACCTCCTTCAAAAGAGGCTCCCAGGTCGTCCTTTGTTGGGCTTTGCATGAGATAAGGCATCTCGCTGCCACCATTTCTCATGAACTCCTGCAGGCGAATGCAGCTTAGCAAACAAAACTGCACAGATCACCGCTTCGGCTAGGAAAAAAACACGTGGCACTAATCACAGACACTAGAGATGGGAGAAGACCAAGTTAACATAGTCTGTCCTCCAACCCACTTCTCTGTATGACACATTACTGCTCTGTCCGGTCTATTTTAAATGCCTGTAATGGGAAAGTAACTCTTCTTTCTGGTGTCGGGTAATCACCTCATTTATATCAACCTGACCTGAAAGCTCTTTAGTTAAAATCATTTCCCTTTGAGCGCCGTTTCAGAGAGACACTGTCTAATGGAAACCAGAGACCACATCTGCTCAGCAACAGAGGTCTTCCAAACACATTTGCAACTAGCAAGGCAGAAGGGAGGCTGCACATTTTTAATGTTGGAGAAATAAAAGCCAGCACAGCACACTCTGTCAGCTTCACACTCCCAGAAGAACCAGCACAGTGGTTTTTTGCAAGGTCCAGACAGAGTGAATGACAAGAAATGCAACCACAGTAAATTATAGGGACAAAACATCAGCCCCCCCCCCCCCCCCTTTTTTTTTTTTAACATCCTTCTTCCAGGCTCGTGGAAGTCAAACCACTTTTTTCAAGCTGCAATATGAGTGTGCTTCAAGCCAGCACCACATCCCTTCCGGCTCACTCCAGAGCCTGTCTCGACCAGCGGGATAAATGGCATGGTGGCTCCGTTATGTCAGCGGACTCATTCCCACCTGCAACCTGAGCTGGGTGTGAAAGATTTCAAAGCAATGCAATCCATAGTTTTGGACAGAGTCCAGGCCCCTGACCCAGTTAATATCTCCCATCTCTGAAGGGCGGTGGAAAGCTGATGGGGCTTCTTTACTTGCCACTGAAAAAATGAACCGAATCCTGACTATAAGCAGGGGAGAGAGGAACGGCTTTCGTGTCCAAAGGTGATAGACATGCTGTTACCACTTAGCAGGCATTTGCAACCCAGCACAATATTGTTGCGCTGTCCTGGTCTCCCTTCAAACCATGAAAGAAATCCCCTCCTTTGCTGGTGATTTCAGCAAAGCAGCCAGTGGATACATGGTCACAGGCACTAACTTGTTCCCACACTGTCTAGCCCAACAGGTCATCTAAATCAGTGGTTCTCAACTTTTTTTGCAACAGGACCCATTTGTGAGCATCATCGGCCAGTCCTGACCCAGTGCCCCTCACTCCTGACTCACTGCCCCCTGTCCTCAGGTCCCAGCCCCACAGCCTGCAAAGGAAAAGTCCCTGTTTCACAATTTTTTCTCCTTTCATAGTTTCATAGATAGTTTCATAGATGTAGGGTCAGCAGGGACCTAAGTAGATCAAGTCCGACCCCCTGCCCAGGGCAGGAATGAAAGGAGAACTCATTTGTTGATCCATTTTTAAAGTTTGTTTGCAACCATTTCATATATTCTTGTGAGGCACTTTTGGGTCACAGCCCACGGGTTGAGAAACGCTGGTCTAAGCGAGAGACAAGGCACTTCGGGGTGGGAATAATGTAGGGGAAATTGAACGGATGCTACCCTCCTATAGAGGGTTTTAGCCTTTAGGATCATCAACTGGCCAATGCCTTTTCCCAGCACTAGCTTAGACTTCCTGGATATGCACCTCACTAGCTGGATAGAAATGCAGCAACTGGCTGTTGGTCTCTGCTCCCCCCAAGAAGAAAGCACTGGCAGAGACAGACAAACAGACCCTCTTCTGCATGTCAGAACAGGGTACCCTGAGTGTAAGAGGTGGTGATACAAGGAGGTTCCTGTGTGGCCTTTAAAATGATGATGTCTTTGTGTTTGATGTTCATCTGAGACAACGTTGAAGGGCAGCATGTTGTCCTCATTGCTACATATGCAACTTAGGAGACAGCACCTTAAGGCAGACCTCTAAATACGTGGCAATATACTTGACAAGATTTCAAGCTTGATGGGGAGGGGGCTGTCTGTTGTGTATTTAAAGAGCATTTAGTGCAGTGGTTCGACTGCAATATGACTGATAAATAGATAGCAATCATGAATGGAGAATGCCAGCGATGATGACACATCACATAGTCAGATGCAACCCAACCAGACGTGCCTATGACTTGATACCCCTGACATATGTTAGGCAGATGGCACTCAACTTGGAATTATCTGGGTAATGAGGTACATTAATCACTCTGAACCAATGCCCAGTACAAGAATGTTTCTACTTACCAGCCATAATGACAGAAAAAATTATGGTAGCCTCTACAATGCAGTATCATCTTGCACCACTGCCTTTGTAGATCAAAAAGATTCAGCCTTGCTAGCACGTGGAGTAACATTTTCAAAAGCACCTCTGTGACTTTGGACACAAAGTCCCATTTTCCAAAGTCACTTTGATTTTTATGACTCATTGAACATTGACAGAATTGAGGTTATATCTGTACTGTGGATGCACAGCTGTGACTGCAGCTTATGTTGACATGCCCAGGTTAGCTTTAACTTAGCTACCCCGTGCGTTAGCAGTGTAGTCACAGCAACACAACATTTGGTGCAAGTCAAAACTTGTTCAAATAGCTGACTTCTTGGGTGGTCAGCCCAAGCTGAGCTCCACAGTGGCTACACTGGTACCATTACATGCCCCTGCTAGTTTGAAGCTAGCTTGGATTCATCCACACCACACTGCACTATAGATATACACTGAGTCTCCTAAGTCACTTAGGGCACCTGTACACACCATAGGTTTTAATCCTCATTAAAATAAATAGGTTTATAACATTTAAACGTGTTTATTTTGGAGCGTTGCATCTATGTTTACATGCACTAGGTTTTCAAACGAATTAAGCCGGGTCCCTGGCTTAAAAATTAACATGGGTCCTTGGTTTAAAAATCATGATGTGTACATGAGCCCTGAAGCACTAACAGAGAATCACCTTCAACTTCAGTGACAGAGGTCATTTTTTAAACCAACTGCTTAAGCCCCAGCACAATCCATTAGTTATCCCTAATGAACAGCCTGGGCTTGAAATCTCTTGCATTTAGTATTCTCACGTCTCCTAGCCCATGCCAAACATAACATTAAGGTAGTCAGCTCTCTGCTATCCTGAAACAAGAGCCAGTGACTGAGCACTCTGTTAAAGGAAGGAGAGATTTTCAGGATTTAGCACTCGCAAGGATGTACCATGGGTCCTGACATTTGGATGTGTGCGCCTGACCTTTGCATTTATTAATATTCATCATTATATTAATTCTTGGGATGAGCAGGATTTTTCAAAAGAATAAAATCTGTGAAAGTAAAGAAGATCACAGTGAAGCAAAAGGTTTTAATTAATGTTCAGTTAAATTAGAGATGTGGGAAATGGTGCAATAGCTAGATTAGCCAGATGGATTTTTTTTTACCTATATTATTCCCTCTTGACCTGGAGTCTCTCTGTCCCACACACTCCAATCTGTGACCATTATAATTGCTTATAGTCACTTCATGCCTTCTCCCCACCTCTAGTTAACTCTTGTCCTCATCACTCTAGCTACCAAAAAATGGCATATCACTACTGGAATATCACTATTGGGTTCATGTTCCTCTAGGAAATGAGATTGGTGTATGTATGTCCTCTCTACAGCACATGATTGAAATTAGAACTGGAATCTGTTCTGCAGGAACCTGTGATAGATATAAAAAATGCTTCCTGTGAACTGGGAACAAAAAAGCCACAATTCTAATATTTCCTCCAAAATGAAATTTCTGAGAAAAAATTGGCTTGGGACCCTTGAAATGTCAAATCTGGATAACGCTCAGAGGCTTCACTTCTAAAATATGTCATTTCAGCAAGGGGAAAAAAAAGCGTCCCTTTGATGAGCCAAGACGTTTGATTTCCACATTATCATTTCAACTCTTTGTGCATCTCAATTAAAAGGCTATAAAAGATATAGAGCAAAATGATACGTAAACAATGTTAACACTGTTTGAATTAATAATTAACGTTTCCATGCATGCCTTAACGCAGGAAGCAAGGTGATAAAGCTGAAGGGAATTGCTTGACTTTCTCCTTTTGCTGATGCTTTG